CGGCGCGGCGCGGCGCGCGGTGCGGAGCGCGGCACCGCGCGTTCCCCCAGTTCTCAAGTGTTCCCGCAGCATCCCTCCTCCCAATTTGAAAAAAACGTAGGTCTAGCACGAGAGGACGATGCTGCTCGTGCATCAACGCTCTGTTGTGGCGGTCGGTTTGACGAACCCGAGGCGCCGACACGAGGCGCCGACATGAAACGCGCACGCAGCGCGTTGTGGTGGAAGCGGGATGACGGCGGACGACCACGAGTGCGTGAAGTCGGAGGGGCGAGTGAGCGGAGAGCCGAAAGAATACGCGACGGTGACATCTACATGGCCATGAGCGAAGGTAGTGGGGTCTCGAGACAACTTCGAAGACACTCTGTGTGGCTGCCATGCTGCTTTTGATGCTTAGGCTTCTGGTCGTGGATCCGTGTTGTACGAACAGTCCGCTGGTAGTAACAAGATTCACGGATCATCTTTTATACCGTCGACGTGGACTCAAGCCTTGAGCGCGTGAACTGAGGGCGAGCGTAGCGAGGCCGAGGCGAACGCGCGAGGGCTACGGGTTGGCTGTTTCAACTCGGTCGAAATCGCGTTTGCGCATCTTGCTTTCGCAAAAAACCCGAAATCTCTGGAAACGCGCGCCAGCGCGAACGCTCTGGCGCGCTGGTCCGCCGCGCATCGCCTCGTGCTCACGTTCAGCGCGGCTTGGCGGCGCGGATTTCGAGCCACCGCGCCGACTCGTTTGGCGCGGAGGGGAGGAGGCCATCGCCACGATATTGGGCGGGCTCTCGAGTCCCCGCTGGCCCGTTTTCGGGTGGCCCCCCATCAACAAACCGTGAAGCCAGGTCAAGTGCTTGGTAGGGCTTCAAGCAACTCAAGCAATTCAAGCGATGCAAGAGCTTTTGCAAGATGAATCAGGTCTCGAGCGCGTTAAGCGGCGTGTGATTGACGCTGGCCATTGGCTGTAGACCAGCCTCGAGGCTCGCTAAAGCGCTGCCACGCGCGTCGCGAATGTCGTTTTCGTCCTCTCGTCGGTTTTCCGAATCTAGAACTCACTCGTTACTTGGACTTTCGAGCTCAGACTTGCATTGCTGGGTAGCAAAGATGTGACAGAACGTATCCACAGCAAGATGTCGCACGGGACGCCTCAAGACGGACCGAGCGAGCGCTGGGAACTCG